AAGTGAAATAAGTCAATCAGAGAAAGATAAGTATCATATGATCTCACTGATATGAGGATTTTGAGAAACAAGACAGAGGATCATAGGGGAAGGGAGGGAAAAATGAAACAAGACCAAACCAGAGAGGGAGACAAACCATAAGAGACTCTTAATCTCAGGAAACAAACTGAGGGTTGCTGGAGTGGTGGGGGGGTGGGAGAGATGCGGTGGGTGGGTGATGAACACTGGGGAGGGTATGTGCTATGGTGAGCACTCTGAATTGTGTAAGACTGATGAATCACAGACCTGTACCCCTGAAACAAATAACACATTACATGTTAATAAAAAAATTAAAAAAAAAATCCTTTGGCCAGTAAAAGGACAAAAGAATAATTAAGCAACTTTACTCTTATAAATTTGACAATCTAGAAGAAATGGACCAATTCCTCAAGAACCACAGCCTATTAAAATGCAATCAAGATGAAACAGATCACTTGAATAGTCCTATACCATTACAGAAATGGAACTTACTTTAACAAAAAAGAATTTTCTAAGGTCAGACGGTATCAAGTGGAGAATTCTAGCAAATATTTAAAGTATTATCACCAATTCTATACAATCTCTTCTAGAAGAAAGGGGAGGGAACACTTCCCAATTCATTTTATGAGGCCGGAATTATCCTGATACCAAAACCAGACAAAAGCAGTATTAAAAAAAAAAGGAGAAACTGCAGACCAGTATCTCTGTTGCACTCAACAAATACTCAAAATGTTAGCAATCCAAATCCAACAATGTATAAAAAAATTTATACACCATAACCAAATGGGTTTTTCCTAGGAATGCCAAGAGTAGTCAAACATGTGAAAATCAACCACTGTAATATACCACATCAACAGACTAAAGAAGAAAAATCACATGATCATATCAATTGAAGCAGAAATAGCAATGGACAAAATCCAACACCCATTCATGATAAGAACTCAGCAAGTTAGGAATCAGGGAAATTCTCTCAAATTGGTAAGAAGCATCTACAAAAATCCTCCAGCTAATGCCACGCCTCATGGCAGAAGACTGAATGCTTTTCCACTAATACCAATAACAAGGATGTCGACCTTTACCACTCTTATTCAACAAAGTACTGGGAGATCTACCCCCTGCAATAAGGCAAGAAGAAGAAATAAAAAGCATGCAGATGGGAAGGGAAGAAATGTAATTGTCCCTATTTGCAGGTGACATGACTGTCTATGTAGAAATCCCAAGAAATCTACACATAAACTCCTGGACCTATTAAGTGATTTCAGCAAGGATGCAGGATACAAGATCAACACAGAAAAAGCAACTGCACTCTATGCACTGACAATGAACATGCAGAAACCAAAATTAAAGACATAATACTATTTATAATTGCTCTAAGGAAAATCAAATATGTAAGGTATACACTTAAGAAAACATGTACAGGATCTGGATGCTGAATATCATTAAATGCTGATAAAATTCAAAAGTTCTAAATAAATATAGAGACATATCGTGTTCATGGACTGGAAGACTCATGAATTCTCCCCAAATTAATCTATAGATTTAATGTCATTCTTATCAAAATCCCAGCAAGGTACTTCATAGACAAAAACAAGCTTATTCTGAAATTTATATGGAAGGGTGAAAGAAATAGATTAAAACAATCTTGACAGAAAGAATGAAGTGGGACAAATCACTCTACCTATCAAGACTTATACAGAACTATAGTAATCAAGACAGTGTGGTGTTGGTGGGGGGACAGACACCAGAGATCAATGGAACAAAAGAGAGAACCCAGAAATAGAGCCCAATACAAATATTAGCATTCAACCTATGGAAAAACCTTTAGAAACCAAGAAGATTACAGGTAAAAAGAGGCAAAGTATATGCCCGGCATAAAAATGGCTAGCAGATTTATGAGATGATGTTCAAATTCATTAGTAATAAGAACATACAAATTAAAAACAAGATATCACTTAATACCCATCAGACTGGTCTGGTAATAACCAAATGTGCGTGAGGATCTGTGGAAACAGGACCTCCCCAACACTGCTAGGAGATACTTTGATGAGCTGTATGACAACACAGCTCGACCTCTGAGTATATACCCGAGGGCAGCAGTTCTCAAACTGTGGTCTGTGAACCCCTGTGGGTATCTGAGACCCTTCCAGAAGTCCGAGGAATCAAAACGATTTTCCTAACAGCACTACGAAGTTATCTGCCTCGTTCACTGTGTGGACATCTGCACCAAGAATGCAGGAGCGATGGTGCCACCACCATCCGGGCCTCGGCACCAAACCATGCCGGTGGTCTTCTTACTCTTCACCACCACAAACTCACGGTTTAAAAAAAAAAAGGTTTCACTTAAGCACGTCCTTGAATAAGAATTCTTAACGGTGTTAACTCCCGACGCTTAACAACTCATCCTTTCCCATCCTGTGTGATGGCACGGGACGAAGCACACAAAGCAGTTCTGTTGCCTACTGAAAGGGCAGTCTTTTTATTTTTCTAGGAAAACTCTCATTTTCCTTGAGTTTGCTGTCTCAAAGAGAAGCCTGTAGGCGATGGAGGTGTGAGCTGAACTAGCCACTTTTTTCATGGAACACCACTCAAAAAGAGGACTAACAAACTCCGGTCATTGAAACTTGGGTATTTGGCACATCTTGGAAATCAATGATGCGATCCTATCACTTCAAGGAAAATATTGGTGGGATTTGTTGCCAGTGATATAATTTGAGCTTTCAGGGTACAACTTTATGTCTGGAAAAACCTGTATCCTCCACCGTGAACTATATTATATACTTTTCTGATGACAATGGTGGGGATATCAATGAATGAGACTTTTTGATATTATATAATGAACTGTTAGCATCTAGAAGATCTTTTTAACCCAGTGAATCGGTATTTTCCAAATGATCAATATATGATGTTACAAACTCATACACTGGTAAAGGAATGATCAAAGGACAAGACAGACCAATGGATTTTAATCAAACAGAGTATGCAAAGTTCATTAATATGCTTTCAGGTAGAGAATATTCAAAACGATCTGAATAGGCTACTAAAATATGTTATTCTTTTCCATATCGTCAATACTTCATGTGAAGGATTTTTTTTCACACACGTCGGCCAAAATAATTTATCACAATAGATAGAATGCAGAAGTAGATATGAGAGCCCAGCTGTCTTCTAGTAAATCAGACATTAAAGAGATATGCAAAAATATAAAACATACCATTCTTAATTTTGTCACTTTGGGAAACAGTTATTTTTCATAAAAAATATGTTATTTAGGTAACATGTTTATTATTGTTATTAAATTAAATATATATTTTTTCAATTATTTATTCTCTTTCAAAACTAAGATATAATTGACATATAACATTATATTACTTTCAAGTGTACAAGATAATGATTCGATATTTGTATACATTGCAAAATGGTCACCACAGTAAGTTTAGTTAAAATCTACCACATGTAGTAACAACTTTTTTTCTTGTGATAAGAACTTTTAAGGTCTGCTCTCTTAGCAACTTTCAAATATGCGACACAGTCTTAACTGTAGTCACCATGCTGTACATTACATCCTCATGACTTATTTATTTTATAACTGGAAACTTGTACCTTTTGACCCTCTTGAACCATTTCGCCCACCCTCTACGTCTGGCAACCACCAACCCTGTTTTCTCCATCTGTGAATTTTGGATTTTTTTTTTTTTTATTCTACATATAAGTGAGATCATACAGCATTTGGCTTTCTCTGATTTATAAAATAATAATATTAAAAATTTTTGCTTCAATTTTCAATGTAATAAGTACCTGTAAATATAATCCACAAAAATAAAAGCTCTTTGGGGTCCTCAGTAGTTCTTCAGAGTGAATGAGTCCTGAGATCAAAAACTTTGAGAACTGCTGTCCTGGAGAAACTAACCACAAATGCATAAAGATTTGTGCTTAAACTTTTGCATAGCAAAGGAAATAGTCGACAAAACCAAAAAACAACCGACAAAATCGGAGAGGATATTTGCAAATCAGATAAAGGGCTAGTATCTAAAATCTATAAAGAACTTATCAAACTCAACACCCAAAGAACAAATAATCCAATCAAGAAATGGGCAGAAGACAAGAAAAGACTTTTCTGCAAAGAAAACATCCAAATGGCCAACAGACACATGAAAAAGTGCTCAACATCACTCAGCATCAGGGAAATACAAATCAAAACCTCAATGAGATACTACCTCACATGGGTCAGAATGGCTAAAATTAGCAAGTCAGGAAATGACAGATGTTGGCGAGGATGCGGAGAAAGGGGAACCCTCTTACACTGTTGGTGGGAGTCTAAGCTGGTGCAGCCACTCTGGAAAACAGTATGGAGGTTCCTCAAAAAGCTGAAAATAGAGCCACCCTATGACCCACAATTGCACTACGAGGGATTTACCCCAAAGATACAAATGTAGTGATCCAAAGGGGCACCTGCACCCCAATGTTTATAGCAGCAATGTCCACAATAGCCAAACTGTGGAACGAGCCAAGATGTCCATTGACAGATGAATGGATAAAGAAGACGTGGTTCATATATACAAGGGAATATTACTCAGCCATCAAAAAATTGAAATGCTGCCATTTGCAATGATGTGGATGGAACTACAGGGTATTATGCTAAGTGAAATAAGACAGTCAGAGAAAGACAAATACCATATGATCTCACTCATATGTGGAATTTAAGAAACAAAACAGGATCACAGGGCGAAGGGAGGGAAAAATAAAACAAGATGAAATGAGAGAAGGAAACAAACCATAAGAGACTCTTAATCGTAGGAAACAAACTGAGGGTTGCTGGAGGGGAGGTGGGTGGGGGAATGGGGTAACTAGATGATGGACATTTAAATGGAGGGCACATGATGTATTGAGCACTGGGTGTTATATGCAACTGATGAATCACTGAACTCTACCTCTGAAACTGATAATCACTATATGTTAATTGAATTTAAATTTAAAAAGATTTGTGCTTAAAGATGTGCACTCTGTTCTAGAAATAAGAGCTTAAAAACAAAGACTGCTCGGTTGTTCTCCAGAAATGTCCTTTGAATTCACCCTGTCTGTTTCTACCATTTCTGCGCTGCCTTGGCTGTCATCCTACATCCAGACGGATGCCTGACAATGTTGAAAAGACAATTCCAGCTCAGTGCTCACACCTGAATGGTGAATGGACTGTTGTCGGAACTTCTACCCGGCCTCCTTATTCTTTCTCTCCTCCAGGTACTTACCAGCTTAAATCTCAACTTTTGAACCCAATCCCACTTCAACTGAAAGAGCTTCTATGCGAAACATCATCTGAACGACAAATTCCAAGCTTTTTTTTTTTTTCTAAAAAAAGGTTTAAAAAGCACTATGTTAAATTCATCCAATCAATAATCAGAAAATCTGTTACTTTTCCTTCCTTCCCTTGAACAAGGGTTAAGTGGCTGAGTTATGCCATCTCAACGGAAAGCAGTTCAGGTCAAACCAGGTTTGCAAAACCCAAAGATATTAAACTTTGGAAAGTACCTCAGATAACGCCATCCAAATCGACTTTTTCAAAACTGAATAAAGCAATTAATCACACAGGTACCAACAGAAACGTATCCTGATTTCCTATTAATCACTAGTAAAAATATGCTCTTCTCTAGGAACGGAAACTGTAAGAATAAATTCTGGTTCTATTGGGGGGAGCAGAAATCTGGTTTGGAAGCAGTGAGTCACGGAGAAAGAGGAGAGAGAGCGGCACTCTTTGATCCCTCCAGAAAACAGACTCAGCTGTGTGGTGTTTTCATACTTGTCTGTAGTGTCTTAACCCCCTTATGTTTACCTCCACTACAAACGTATCAATAATGTGCTCCTGGGGGAGGAACCAGTGAGCTACTTCCTCTTCATCCATCACCGGGGCGAGATGAAACTGCTTCAGGTAAGTGTTGGTCAAGTCTCGAACGGCCCGGATATCTCTCGGTTCCATCGGTCTCAGGCCTGACGTCTTGGTAGCCTTGTTGCAGTGAACACAAAACAAAGTGGGAAGTTGAACTGTAAGAGGAACGGAAGGCCGGGTACGTCAGCGTCACCTGGGAGCCTGTCAGAGCTGCCGAATCGTGGCTCGCCCTCAGCCCTACAGAATCTGCCGTTTACCAAGACTCCCCAGTGATCGGTCTACACACAAAAGCTTGAAAAGCACCGACGTAAAAGTACGTTAGACAATGCGTTGTACCTTCTATCCGTGGGCCCGGTCTGGGGTCAGTGCTGCCCCAACGAAGCCAGAGGGGACACCAATCTACGTGCCAAAGCCAAGCATGTTAACAGCCTCCACCCTGGGGCAGAGCAATCTGAGCATGTGTTCTGGAAGAATGTGCTTTAGAGACTGCCCTGTCTGACATGTTGAGGTGAAGACAGCCCAGAAACTGATTTTATTGAATGGCTCGTGAAGAGGCTGTAGCTCTTCTGTTCTTGTGAGCAACAAAAATGAAATAAAAGTAGATCATATTGGTTAGAAGGGGAAGGGCAAGCATTTGACCAGCCAAGTATTTTCTAAAGGTGCATGGCTAGCTGCCAAGTACGAGGCCTGGCTTCCTCTGCTCTCTTTTGATTAAAAAAGGTGATTAGAACAGGCATTTGGATTCATCATTCCAGAGCATCACAATTTCTACGGTATTCTATTAGGAACAGAATTAACCTAACGGTCAGGACAGGTCCCCATTTGGATTTGTTCCACTGTGACCTCAGATGAGCTCCAGACATCACTTAGCTCCCTGGGAACTGCCCAAACACCAGAACACTTGAGCCGAGAAGTGAGAAAACACACCACAAGTGCTTGTTTGTACAAAATACTAAAAACTTAGCAAGACAACTTCATCTTTCCAGTTAGCTTGATTTTTTTCCTTTTTCCTAGAAATACATTTTAAGCAATAAGTAACCTGTATATAAATAGTTCTATTCTACCTTTTCTAAGTTATCTTTAAATGCTTTAAAATTAAATACTGCCTTTAAAAATAGATCATGACAACTCCCGCATGCCCCCAGACTCGGAGCATAGCAGATAAGCCTAAGGTGGAAAATAGGTTTCATGCTGAGTGCTGGCTCTGATCCATCTTAGCGGCTGTGCCGAGGTCTCTTGGGGTCCGTGACAAAGAATGCTGACTGATCACTGACTGGTGGGGGCTAGGAGGGGGGTTGAGAGATCTGTTCTTTGTATTTACAGACCCAAATGTCCTTTCTGTTATGACTTATGTAATCTATAAAGATGTAGTAATTCAGCTAAACTACAGTTTACTAGTCCACATCGAGAGAAGATAAGCCCTGAACATTTAATAGAGAACTCATACTTCTAGCCTTTCTGTGGATCACAAAGCCAAAGCACGAGAAATCTCCAGGCCCTGGCTTCCATCCAAGGCTTAACCCTTCAAGCAAGAAGGGTAATAACAGCCCGAATATGTGCGAATGAATGAAATGAAATGAATGAATGAATGAATGAATGCCTATGTTTCGAACCACATTTACACAGTAAGGTACGGTGAAGGCTGCAGACAGGGAAAAAAGTCAGGGTCAGTTCTTCAAAGATGACACTTCTTGGGCCTGGCACTTTTATGTAAGCCAGGCAAAAATTCTTTTTTCCTTTCCCCTGACCCAAGTTTAATGTTTGGTAGCATTTCTATACTGCAAATTCATGGCAAGATGGAACCTAGGTGATTTCCAAATACTGGAAAAGGTAACAAACATACATTTCTAAATGCTAACAGGAAAAACCAAACTACATATACAGAAAGAATGTATTTAAAAAGTCATTTATAAAGATGGTTTTCTGCTATGCAGATAACCTCGATAGTCTTAAGTAGCCTTGCTCAATAGTAAACTGCTTTTTCTTTTGTTGCTGGTTCAGGAACAATGATATCAAGCAATTAGATTCATTAGTGCAAGCAACAGGATAGTGCATGTGTTAGGCGGACATTCAGAAAGGAAGAACAAGCCTGCCAACTTCTTTCTAGACCAAAACACTCCTCTGCAGCAATATTCTCCCTCAGTGAGTATTTATCCTGCAAAATCACTAAAAACATCTTTTGCCCAGCAGACACCCTTAAAGTAGCAGTTCCTGAATATTTTTGTCTAAGACACCTTTCCCCTCTTAAACACGGAGTATTCCCAGCGAGTTTTGCGAAGGTGGGTTATATCCACCCGCACGTATCGTATTAGAAATTAAAACCGAGAAAATCTTAAAACAAAAAAAAAATGCAGGAGCACACATTCCAGAAGGCGTCTCGTAGACGTCACAGTTCATCTGTAGGGTAATTAAAGCGAAAAATGCATTTTATGTCTTACTGTTATTATAAAAATAGTGTTGATGTGACAGACCCCGCTCCCCCGGAACGGACTTGACTCCAGGACTTCTCAGGGGTCCCAGGACCAACTTTGAGAACTGCTGTGTCAGGTCTCCAAAAGTCAGAATAACGGGTAGTCGAAGTGGGAGATGGAAAACTCCGTGAAACAGTACGTTTGGGTGAACAGGCAGAAAGTATACGCACTGGGCAATTTATAAGCCCTAGAAGTGCTTTTTCACAGAAGCTTTTTTTTTTAAAGAGAACATTAGACTGTATCAGCTATAAAAAAAAAATGCAAGATCCCAGAAAACAGGAGAAGAATGTTTACTTTTGCTGACTCATAATGTGTGTCTCAGGGCCTAAACGTGCTTCTTTCTAATATCATGAAGTTTCACACTCTCCAAAAAAAAAAAAAAAAAATTAACAGAAGCACAAAATACATTTTAAAATATAAAATACACCCTCCAATTACAGCTGCGGTCTTCAGAAAGAGGTGGGGAAATGTTAAGCCTAGATTTAAAAAATGGTAAGTTTTGGCATAACCCAAAAAAGAAAGGTGGCTTCCAGAGAATTCCAAAAAAACAAAAAGACATTTCCAGTGACTGAGACAGCCTTACATTTCATATGCAAACTCTATTATCTCAGCCAGACTCACTTTCCCAGGGTCCAACTAGCAGGCGTGACTCGTTGGGACTCTCTGTACATTGAAATATGTGTAAAATCTGCTTATCAGTGCATACGGCGAAAAGGCTCAGAGGTCTATTAAAAAACAGAAGCCGTTTTGTTCTCTGTCAAACTATGTGGCGTAAACTCTTGGAGCCAAGATTCCAGAGTAGAGATGTAAGCAATGATTATGGGGATTTGATTTAAAAAGCAGCCGCAGGACGCTAATCATTAAAAAAAGCATCTACTGCAACTAAATGTTGCACGTCTTCACAAGCACGTCCTTCCTGCAACACTGTGGAAGGACCCCAGGAGATGAACCTGACTCCAGTTTTTTGCCGACTTTAAATTCCTTCACCTTTAAGAGCACTGACCAAAAAAAAAAAAAAAAATTCCAACTTTGTTTGAAAATGCTCAAAAGTGGGGCGCCTGGGTGGCTCAGTTGGTTAAGCATCTGCCTTCGGCTCAGGTCATGATCTCCAAGGTCCTGGGATCGAGTCCCGTGTGGGGCTCTCTGCTCAGCGGGGAGTCTGCTTCTCCCTCTGCCTCTGCCTCTGCCCTCCCCTCCCTGTTCATTCTCTTTCTCTAATAAAATCTTCAAAAGAAAAAAAAGAAAAAGAAAATGCTCAACAGCAAGCTAAAACAAACCAATGTTTACAAGGTAGGGGAGGGCATGACACTCGGGGAGACCTCAGCATTGCAGAGAGCAGAGGCTGGGGGGGGTGTGGGCCCTGGGTGGTTCTCTCCTAACAAGAAGATGACGATTCTGGGCAGAGCAATTTCACTGCTCTCTTCCACAAAACGGGGAGAATGCCCTGCCCTCCTAGGACGGTTATGAATAATAGTTGAGACTATGAATGTTCGGTGTCTAGCACAACGCTGGCCATAATAACGTTAACGCTTTAGATCCAGAAGTCCACAAACAAGGCCTACAGCAGGTACGTTGCGCAGAAACAGTAATGATGGATCAGAAGATGAGACTGATCCAGAGAGCAAAAGCTGTACGCAATAAAGTTCTTTACGCGTAAGGGCACAAAAATGTTCTTAAATCACACGACTGGGCCCCTATGCAGGCAGAGGCCATTGTCTAGTACATGCTACGTTGTCCAGCTTCTTTTTTTTTTTTTAAGACTTTATTTTTAAGTAATCTCTATACCGACCACGAGGCTCAAACTCACAACCCTGAGATCAAGAGTCGCATGAAGAGTCGCACACTCTACTGACTCAGCCGGCCAGGCGCCCCTGCACCGTCCAGCTTCTAACTCAAATGACACACTCCCAGGCGGCTCGGTGGGTGCCTTCCAGATTTTCTAATATCTGTATTCTCATCTCTTCCACCCTCTCTTTTTCCTCATTGTTTTACTCTTCATTTTTCTTTCCTTCCCCAGGACTTAAAAGCAGGGAGGCAGACTGGAACACGCCAACGAGCACTATTCGGCCCCTGACGATCATGCTTTCCTGCGTTCACCTCCGCTCTAGTGACCGTGTGGCGAGACATCCGGTGGGATCGGGCCACGCTGCCCCCTGGGGGTGTGTGAGAGGTGACGGCAGGAGCAAAGGGATCTAACAGGCGGAACGTGATGTTCGGGGCGTGCATCCCGAGTCCCCCACTTATTAGTGACAGGCCCGTGTCTAAGTGTCAAACTGCGTAAGCCCTGATCTCTTCATCTGCAAAATGCAGACAGGCCACACCAGCTTTGAAAGGTTGTCATGAGAGTAACATGAATATATATACACATGTGAGAGCACTTTGTAAACTTCACTTTATTGGGGGAAAAAAACTCCCAATGCCAGACCAGGGATTTATTACTAACTTGTTAACACTGTTACCTGAGTTGATCAATTTTTGCGTAAAAACATAAAGGATGAGGGACAAAAGTCAAAAATACTCTTAGCTCAAAGTCTGATCACCCTGAATAAACCCATGACAGGTACTAAAACTCCTCCTTCATCCCATTTTAGGAAACCTACACAGAAGTGGGCGCCTTCCTTACACACAAGCTGGACGGCTTCAGGCTCAAGAAACTGAAATTCGGGGAGACCACAGAAGAGCGTTAGCCCCTAGTGAAAAAAGTGGGCACGCCTGAAGTTTTTAAATTTCCGCTCCTGGATGGCCAAGTCTCCAGCTGCAAGGAGGCCGCTGAGAACGGACAGGCCTGCAGGGGGCGTGTTTCGCCGTAGCCGTGTCCTGTGCCTCTACGTGCCTGTCCCTCTCGGGTCACTCTGGGTCTTGGCCCCTAGCATCAAAAAAGCCCTGGCCAGTCAGTATTCAGTGTCACGTTGCTAGTGTGACTTCTCTGAACGTCTTCTGTGCACACATCTCCACACACCTACCTTCCCTTCTGCCACTCCAGCATGAGGGGCTGGCGCCCCCTCCCCAGGTCCTGTGGACCCTACTCTCTCATGCTGTCTGCAGTGTTTATTTTCTTCTCTTCTGGTCCACATTTCCCCTCCTTCCTTGGCCTCAGAGGCGGTGAGTTCATTAGTCTGAGCCCCACTGTCTGCAACAACAGTTAAGACCGAAGGGAAGCCGAGGCCTTCTGATCCTTCTGCCAGGTTACAAAGCTCCAGAATGATGGTCCTGATCTCTCCCACATCTGGTTTCCCTCGCCTCCACTTTTCTCCTCATGAAATTCTGCCTAAGGTCAGAAATCAGTTGATTCCTGTCTATCACTGGAAAAAAATACATCCGTTCATGTAGCTACTCACATGTACTTGGTAAACACACAACTGGCCGAAAGACGAAAGGAGGCAGTGGAGTCCACCGCGCCGAGAAAGGCCACCGCAGATGAAGCCCTCCCCGTGTTCAAGAGGAGCACGGTGACATTCCACGGGGATCCCTCAATCAAGTTAAAATAGTCACGAAACTACTTTCTAACAACCCAAGAGAAAGAATAGCTCTGGTGAAATCAAAACTTCAAACGAAAGATTCCATCTGTGGCAGACGGATTCTAAGATGGCCCCCGGTGATGCCACCTCCTGGTGCTCACAGCCTTGCGCTCCTCCTGAATGTGGAACCTGGGACTTGCTTCTAACCAGTGACATTCACGGCGATGGTGACTGGATGTCGCCTCCAAGCACTGATTACATAAGGTTCTAACTTCCACCCTGCTAGCCAGCTCTCTCTGTAGACCCACTCCCTCACTGGCTTTGATGAAACAAGCTGCCATGTTGTCACAGCTGCTACCCTACGGGGAATCTCACCTGGCGAAGACCAGAGGGAGGCCTCAGGCCGATGGCCAGCAAGGAAAACTCTCGGTCCAACTGCCAGCAAAAACGCAGGCCTGCTAACAGCCATGTGAGGTGGACCCACCCCCAGTTAAGTGTTCAGATGAGACCCAGCCCCAGTGGATACCTTGATGGCAACTTCATGAGAGACCCTGGGGCAGAGGCCCCAGGCAAGCTGGGCTTTGATTCCTGAACCACAGAACCTGGGAGAAAACAAATGTGTGTTTTAAACTGCTAAATTTGTGGGAATCTATCACAACAGCAAGAAACAACTAACACACCATCCAAGCTTCAAATAAAGGCAACACTGGTAAGCACATGTAACTTTTCCTCTATTAAGAGACAACTTGTCATGTTGGGAATTTACTAGCTTAAAAAGATATTTTTTTGAGGGGGCGCCTGGGTGGCTCAGTCAGTTAAGTGTCTGCCTTCAGCCCTGGTCATGATCTC